CCTCAACTCGAACGTCGACCTCACGCCGCATTCCCTTTCTTAGGCACCACCAAGCCACTCCACTTTGTCCAATGAACCGATTGGCCTAACACGAGTTCCCGGCCGACTGGACGGCATACATCATGGCAGGACAGTGGAGTATCTCAAACTCTCTGGTATGCTCGGCAGTTAGTGCATATCAGTTTTGATTACTGTAGACGCAGTGACTTGGACGACCTGGGAAGATCGGTCGAGTGCTGAAGGTCAAGGTGCCGCTCATGTTAGACCGGGTGGAATCCCTGAAGACGAGTGAGGGCGTATCATCCGGTGACCCATACTGTACGTCCGGCCATGCATACAAGTTGACCTGCTTCCCACACCAGATTATGTGACGAGCCCTAGTGATATAGTTCCCTCTTTTATCAGAAACCCTGACCCTTTCAATGTGTTTTGGCTCCGGTGCAGTAAAAGACGCCTTCCATATCATGCAGGTACAACAAACAGCTTGCTCAATTATTAAGTCCAATAATCACTCGAGCTTCCACCTCGTCAAACAGATCACCCCAGATTCAATCTAAAGATATCGTTGGATCTACAATTCGGACAAGAGATCAGTAAACCCACGGCAAGAGGAAAATATCTTGGGCGTACACAAAGAAAGAGCCGCCATCTTGAGCAAGCTGGAAGCATTGACTGTATTGCATGGGAGGGGAATCGTCGATCTGAGCGGGAAAGGCAGTACGGGTCAGTCAAGAGATGCCACCCGGTGCAGAGTGTCTACGAACAGCCAAGGCACCGGTGACCATCACGATCAGGGACGAAGCACTGGCAGCTTGCGCGTCAAGCGTGGTGACTTGATGCTTGACGGTTGTGAAGGGGAGTGACTAGAGTGATATGTGAGCAAGATGTACAATTTAGGGAGTGCCATCGCCTCACGGTGAGCTTCTCGACGATATTAGCAGTGCTACTAAAGACCTGCCCTTCCCAAGTAAGGTTTGAACTATCTCGCTTGATGCAGCAACCGAGGGAAGACCCCAATACCACAGTAGGGTCGAAAAGGAAAGGCATCCCGAACGCACGAAGGCTCGAGTGAGCTCATAAGATCTGCACTAAGGATGGAGAGAGCTGACTGACGTATAGGGTGTTGAGAGCAGCACGGTTTGTGTCGAATGTGTTGTAGTAATATTGGACGAACTGAGGGCGCGAGAGTGAGGTACCGCAGCTTCTACGTAAGTAGCAAAAAGCTCACTTGCGCGGCAATTTCTTGTGGGCTGGCCATGGTCGATGGAGGATAGAAAGAGGAGAAGACCGTCGATCAAAGACCAGAGTCAATCGTTGAGGAGCGAAACCCTCCGGAGATAAGCGCGGCGGTCCAGTTCGTTATCCCCTGTCAGCCCCTGGGTCGATCTTCGACCCAACACCTCCAGCTCGCAACGCGCACCGGACCTTTAGTGGCGATCATCTGCAGCCAAACACGTACATCAGTTCCCATTCCGTGTTCAACAAAGCCACTCAAGGTGCAAAGCGGGTAACTGATTGCTGCAATCCATGTCTCGCCCGGGCATACGGCGCAAGTCGTCTGCGTCAAATCTATTATCCGGATTTAAGTCTGGATCATCTTCAGCAACCGCAGGATACGTAACACCAACGCCGAAGGAGTGGGACTCCCAGTCTTTGTATTCTGAAACCTCCAACGCACCAACCATGTCCTCGGCAGCATCCGCACCGCCATTACCGATCACCCAATCCTCATCCGTGGAGTACCTGCGAGAGTTGATTCGAAAACGGCTGATGGCTTTACGCGCGTTGAAGGAAATCCACTCTGGGTAGGAACCGTTGCCTGTCTGTAACGGGCGGACACGGAGAGCTCACGTTCCTGACGTGGTCCGCAGACAGGCATTCTGGATGCAAACCGTTCTCCTAACGCGTGCAGATCTCGAACGCGCTTTCGGGGTTCAGCTGAAGAAACAAAGGTAGGTCACTCAATCAGATTGGCGTTTCCAGGTCTTTCCGACTAATTGCAGTGCAGGACAATACGATACGCGATTCTAGGGATGTCGTTATCGAGCTTGTTGGACATATCTCAACCCCAAGACTACTTAGCCTCGCTTCTGCGTTTGTTGCAAGAGTTTGAGGCTGTCCCGGAAGACAACGCGTTGAAACCTAAAATGGTGAGCCGAAGCACGGTAGTTTTCTGCAGGTGGAAAATCTCATCTCTTCGCCCAACAGCGCAATCTGCTCAGGGGATCTAAATTGCCGAAGAAAACGGCGGGCGGAGATTATGGAACATATGTCGACCCCGATGCCTCCTATCTCGTTTCGCCTAACATTGTGAGTCTCATAGAGGGATCCTCCAGTGTAGGATTCCGGAATTCTAACGTCTTGGCCCTGCAGCCGTTTGCCTTGGATTATTTCCAAGTTGCATTTTCCTTATTTGACGTTCTAGCTGAAATCTACAAGAAAATCAGCGACATCCTGGGTCCTTCGTCCATCGTGTCTCCCAGCCACGGTGCGCAAGCTGCTTTCGGCTTATCACCACCAACATCCATGCCACCAAGTCAACCGAATAGTATACAATCACCAATGTCCGAACAGTCCGTCGCGAACTACTTTGCACTGCACGCTTCCGGCGCTACACCGGATCGAGCGTCGCCGATGCCAGGTGTGGGCGCCATCGGCGTATCAGGATTTATGCCAGCGATTGCGATCGCCGGTGGAAGTGGTGTTCCGCAGTCAAACATGTCTGGGCATCCAACCTCCCCTCCCCCGACCTGGAGCGTGACGTACGCAGACATGTTTACCAAGGCAGACCAGAAGATCATGGTAAGCGGTTACGATTCGACTCGTCGTTCATCCCCAACCCACACTGACGGGCGTATGTCGCATAGCGAATCATCTCGTTCATTCTGAAGAAAGTCGACGAAACGGCACGAAGCCGGATACGAGACGAACTTGCCCAGCTCAACCCGCTTCTGCAAAATCTATCATCACCCGGAGCTCTGGGGTACGATTTTGAAGACAGGTGACTTTGCTTGATCAAGGTTGCCTGACGTTTGCCTTTCGCCGCACTTCCCCCTTTAGCGATTCGGCTTCCGCTTCCTTAGCATTTTTATAATAATTGCGATTTTTGAACAAGACGGTTTCAGTGTGACGCCGTCAACCAAGGGATACGGGACCGAACTTCAAAATCGCTCATGCCGGCTCATCTTTAAAACGTCTTAAATTCCAACGCTGACCCTACCTTGGCGCCGTAAAATCGAGAATAATCTTATCCTCCTTGTCTCAGGTGGATAATTCTGTAGCTTTAGTATTCGTGGCCGTACGGAGCGGGCCGAACCTCAGGCTGTTTGATACGGTCGCTCATAGTCTTCAAGACCCCTAAATCGAAAGCACAGTAACAATGACGGCATTATATGAGTTCGTAAGGTGCAGCATCTACCCCACAGTGAGGTAGATAGCCGGTCATGTAGTTCGGGGAGCAAACTCTGGTGTCGCCATCGTGGCCAACCAATCATAACCTCAATGCAAAACACCTTGAGATCCTTTGTCCTCCATCTGGACCACCGTCTCGAAAGTGAAACTGTGGAACGTTGAGGATCGTTATAGCCTCACTCAACGGTGGTTTAGAAGTCAAGTTAAATCACATGATTTACCTGGTACTTGATTTTCTATTAAGGCCCGTAGCTTAATTGGCAAAGCCCAACCTCCGTCTTTTTAAGACAGTACTCGACTATGCAGGTTCAAATCCTGCCGGGTCTATTCTACTTTTTCACCTTCTATACACCCTCCCAAACAGACTAATAATGCATGCTTTGCAAGGAAACAATGATTGTTATCCTACCTAACTATTAATTGGCACCATTTCGATTGCAATTCAAGGGCCGGGAGAGCTCATTTTTTTTTAACCTTGTGGACTGGTTTATGTTGAGGCCCGTAGCTTAATTGGCTAAAGCCAGACATTGTCTTTTGACAGCGTACTCTATGCAGGTTCAAAGCCTGCCGGGTCTATTCTCCTTTTAGTTTTCCACATTTTGCCGCCCTCTAAGGCACGTTAACGCTACACGCTTTGCAAGCGAGCAATAGTTGTTACCATGGCTAACTTTCAGTTGACATCGTTAGCACCACCCGGGGTACATTATAAGGGCGGGGGGCACCAGTCCATTCTCCTCAATATCCGTAGCGATCAGTCTCTTTAGCTGACCGCCTCACGATTTCGCTGCTGATGTCTTGAGATGACCCTCCTTCCTTCACTTAATTTTGGTGCGCGATTTCGGTTTCTTCTGGCGAATTGCACTGTGAAAGATCCTAACTAACCGAGACAATGATATCTCTGGTAACGCCCCTACATTCATGCATCCGACCTCCTGTAACATAATCATCCTGTTTTTCTATCTAGGGTTGCTTCTTGAGAACGGCTGACGTTTGCCTTTCGCCGCACTCCACCCTTTAGCGATTCGGCTTCATTAGCATTTTTATAATAATTAGGATTCATGGACAACGTGATTTTTAGTGTGGCGACGTTGTCAGCCAAGGAATTTCCGGGTCGACCGAAGCGAACTCCAAAATCACACCCGCTGGCCATCTCCGACAGTGGTGGATATGACCCCAGCTTGGGGCTAACTCAAAAAACCCCGCTCCCAGCTTAAGTAGCATTCGTAGCTATAGCAGTGCTGAGCGGTCGTGCACCGACCCTCGGGATGTTTGGTGCCGTCCCTCTGAGTCTTCAAACCCCCGCAAGCTGAAAGCACAAGCACTACGAAGTCGTTATATGAGCTCGTAAAGTGCAGTGTCCCAGCCACAGTGAGGTTGATTTTCACTTAGTTCGAGGAGTAAACGGTTGTGTCGCCATAGTGGTCACCCAATCGTAACCTGTTTGCAAAACAGCCTGAGACCCGACCCTCCCGGGGCACCCGGACCATTGTTTCGAAAGCGAGGCTGTGGAGCTTTGAGGATGATCATGTAGACGTCATTCAAAAAGGCAACTCCACCTCCAAATTCTGTATGATAATCTGATCTTTGTCAGGCCCGTAGCTTAATTGGTAAAGCAGAAGCTTTCGTCTTTATAAGAATATGCAGGTTCAAATCCTGCCGGGTCTACTACTCTCCTTTTCATCTTCCACATTTTGTTGCCCTCCCAGGCAGGTTAACGCCACATATTTTGCAAGCGAGTAACAACTGTTACCATAGTTAACTATCAATTGGCATTATTTCGGGTACGATTCAAGGCCGAGGGACGCCATGGAGTCCATTCCCCTTAATAATGGCAGTGAGCGGTCTCTTTCTCTGACCACCTCACGATTTCGCTGCTGATGTCTTGAGATACCCTCCTTTCTTCACTTAACTTTTTCAACTTTTTGGTGTGCTATTTCAGTTCATTTTACTAATTGCACCGTGAGGGATTCTAACCGCCCAAGTCAATCTCTGATGACGCCCCTAGATTCATGCGCTAAAGCTCACGAATCCTGATCTCCTGTAACGGGCTCACCCTGTTTTCCTATTAGAGCTGCTTTTGAGAACTGCTATAATGACCACGAGAGTCTGATGTCTGACATCGCCATGTACATTCACCCTGGACGCAAACCAACAAATGAAAGGGAACAAACACACGTGTTTGGGTAGCCTGAGATCGCGAGGGACAACCACCTTCCTTCGTATCTCGTGCGCAGTAATTAACCTCTCGCTCTTGCCTTATTCTGATCAAAAGAGGTATACAAGTTGTGGCTCGGAGATCCTGATAGAGGCGCCGGGGCCGATGGTTGGGCGCGCTGACGTTTTGGCATCATATCATGGCGTCTGGAGAAGCAGTGTTGGGACTAACCCGTTATTTGAAATAACCACTAACCCGGGTTAGTGGGTTATAACCCAAGGGTTAGATCAGCTCCCGGGAATGGTTAGTCGGGTTAGTCAGGCAAAGGGTCCTTGCCGGGGCCACCACCATATTCTACACTTAGGGCACCTTATAAACCTTTCGCTTTCGTTCCAAGACAGAACAAGGTACATTAATGGTATCACACCTCTCCATTTTGACGCCCTAGCTAGGTATTTCCCTCGGCTGGGACCGCTTGGCTCTCAACCACGTAGGACCTGCGGACTCGGATCCGTCCCCCCACTCCCTCCCAGAGTCCGCCAAAAGCACGTTTTCTAGGGTAATGTTAGTAATAGCGACGAGGGAATATCTCACAAAGTGCATAGAAAGGCGCGGTGTGATTCCTAGCTAACGCTTGCAATTCGTATGGAGAATGTCGCGAAGGTGAAATCCTCGCATTCTAGGCGCGATAGCTCGCAAGCCGGATGCGGAAGACATGTCCCTTTAACGTAAGCAAGATACAGCGTAACTGAACGGCTAAGAAACGGGCTCTAACTCTATCCTATTTCCCGTGGTGAGTGCCCCTAAGTGATCTGTAGTGTCTCGGTGTGCGTTAAGGGACACCGTGATGCTATATCGGCCACATCCTCGACTGTAGGAATGCCCCGGAGCTTAAGCACATTTTATCGAAGATACTAGTAGTTCTATACTTGCTGCATGGTAGCTTTGCTCTATTCCATCAAGGTTTGGCCAGCCTCCACAGGCAAATAACCGAAATAACCCGACTAACCTGGACTAACCCGGAGTTGATTGAAACCGAAATAACCTCTGACTAACCGAGATGGTTATAACCCGGGTTATTCCCAACACTGTGGAGAAGACAGGACTCCACGCAAGTCGATGTTGCAATCAAGGAGTTCAAGCAACTTGTCCCTAAGGACAAACGCACCGATCTGGACGCCCTTAAGAGAAGGACAGACAGGGTCAGTACTGTATTCGGACTTTCTGTCTCTGACATGGTGCCGTATTTATGCCTGATGAACCACAGCGCATTAAATGGGAAGTGGCTGTTTGGGGCCGGTTAAACCACTCTAACCTACACCCCCTACTTGGCTATCGTTCTCAACCTCGACCACGGCTCATAAGCCCCTGGTGCACTCATGGCAATTTACAAGATTATTTATGGGACAACCCTGATCTCTCCCGACTCCAAAAGCTTCGACTAGTACGTTCACTTCGATCTTACTTCCTGCTTCACATTTTCGTTTACGTATACCGCACACCTCAGGTCTATCAAGCAGCTTCCGGGCACCACCATCTCCCCGCACAAACTCCTCCCATCTGCCATGCTGACATCAAGCCCCAAAACGTGCTGATAAATGAACTATTGGAAGCCGCGCTATCTGATTTTGGCTTGAGTCGGGTTCTACAGGAACTTAGCGAGCCTGGCGAGTTCACAACAAGCGAAACAGTCAAAGGAACTTTGAATTATATGGCAGGGGAACTTTTCGCTGGAAGCAAACCAAATCTCCAGACTGACGTTCACGTGTTCGGTGGACTCGTTCTAACCGTGAGTGCGTGAAGTGAGGTTGAAGGGCTGGGGAGCCCGGTTAGCTGAGGCCTAGTATACTAGGTCATGAGTGGAAAGGCGCCTTTTTTCGGTCTCCATCAGGCAACGGTTATCCTCCGTGTGATGCAAGACCAATCACTGAGACCAGAGGACCAACCTGACCTACCTTATTCTGATCCTCTTTGGGAGCTAATGCGAGGCTGCTGGGACAAGAGTGCCGCCGCTCGACCCACAATGCAGGAGGTTCTAGGAAAGGTTAGCTTTTATGGGAGTTCAATCACTCATCTACATACTAAATACAAACTCGCATTATCTAGTTACTGGAATATGGCAGTTATGAACACTCTGATCCTGGGCTACCACCTGGTATACAGCCTGTTCTCGACGACGGCAACAGCAAAGAGTCAGACATGGGCGTAGACGTAAGCATCCGTTTTTGCCATTTCATCCTGTTCTACGTGTTGTTCATCGTCGCCGATTCAGACTCCGGGCGCAACACCGAAAGGAGGAATTTTACCCTTACCGCCTCTCACCCCAGTCCTTGTGGATGATCAGACAGACACGCTGGATGCCGGGAAGACGCGCGATTCGATTGCTGAAGTAGCACTCGCAGCGTGGAGGATATTTAAGAGCCTGGAAGTGCATTCCAAAATTATTCCTGGCATCGGAGGATACATCGCCGCTGCTGTGGATGTTGGGATCACCCTGTTAGATTTGGCTGAGCTGGGGTCAATAGATTCTTCTTTCGCCGCCCCGCCACCACCAGCAAGTCGGCAGGTTGATGATAGAGGCGAATGTGTTTTCAACGGCCTGTTACCTAACGTCTGGGTGCTAGCCGTCCTTCTTGAGCTCCTCCACAAGAAATCACCTCCCCCCGGGAAGGTGAGATGGCGGTCTGCATCATGAACATCCAGAGGCATTCAGTACTGCTCTATAGGCTGAAACAGTGTTAACCACCGGGGGGGGGGGGGGGGGGGGGGGGGGGGGGGGGGGGGGGGGGGGGGGGGGGGGGGGGGGGGGGGGGGGGGGGG